AATTGTTTTTATTAAACCAGTCATGTTCTCGTGATAAATGTGAGTCACTACAATGCTATAGCAATGGGATCCCCACTTGGTCCATTACTGGCGCATTGCTTCATGGCCAGTTTAGAAAACAACCAACTCAAAAGAACAAAAGAAAACCTCCTCTTGTACAAAAGGTATGTGGATGATATTTTTATCATTTGTGACAACAAATGTAACTTAAGTGATCTCCTAAGGACATTTGATAATTGTCATCAATCAATAAAATTCACACTTGAAGTTGAAAGCAAACAAAATATTCACTTCCCTGATGTAGATATGACAAGAAAACAAGATTTATTATGATTATTTATTATTATCATCAGTTTTATTCAATATAATATTTTTGGTACAATATAGAATTCTCAGCGTAAAGTATTTCAACAAGTTTCCGTTTCTTTTTTCTTGGTCGGTCCTGGCGATAAATATTTAGTGATCGCCAGTTACATGTCAGCAGTTCACTAAATGAACATCTGAATAATGTGCATTCTTTTCGTTGTATATTGCCAGCAACCACATTGTCTCTTATTGAGCTTTTTGTAACCTTGACAACGAAAGGTTGTACACTTTTCAAAAACTCAGCAGAATATGTTATGCGAATAAAAGACCTAATGATATATTCAGTTTGCAGTTTCAGTTTTGGAAGGACAGGAGGCCTGATGGCCTATGTTAGTCCTGGCAATGGTGGTCTCCCAGTTGATCCAACTTCCTTTTGAAAGAGTCGACGGATGGAGCCGCAACCACGTGCTGAGGTAGTGAATTCCACTCGTTGATGATTCGATGGGAAAGTCGATAGTCAGCTGACAAGTAATTTGTTCTTGGCTTGTGAACTTTTTTGAGTGTCCTCGTAAATCCTCTGTTTTGGAAGACAAAAAATGAGGGCATATCAGGTGCAAATTTGGCACTAAGCAATTTGAAAACGGTGATCAAGTCGCCTCTAGTTCTGCGATATGACAACGGGAAAAGGTTCAGATTGGCCAGTCGAGCTTCATACGGAAGCTTCGCTATTCCGGGAATCAGCTTAGTTGCCGTTCTCTGAACCTTTTCCAGAAGCTCACTGTCTTTTTTCAAGCAGAGGCTGGCCGCTTGTATGCAGTACTCAAGTTTAGGACGTACGAACACTGTATACAAAGTCAAAAACGTATTAGTGTCGACATGACTAAAAGCCCTACGTATTGATCATAACGTTCTAAAACCTTTGGCGGCTATTGCAAGGCAGTGTGCAGTAGTCTTTAAGTCTTGGCTAACGATGACTCCTAAGTCATCATATGTCTGGACGACAAGTTTGAGATCATTCAGATAATTTCTGCAGGTCATTTTGGAATTCTAAGTTATCATCCTCACATCGTATCGTTCTCCATATCTTGACATCCTCAGCATATAGCAAGACCGATGATGATAGGATACGAGGAAGGTCATTTACTTACAACAGGAATAGCACTGACCCCAAAACTGTACCCTGGGGCACTCCACTAAGCATGGTTTCCCAGCTAGATAACTTTGCGTTCACCCGAACTCTTTGCTGACGCCCAACTAAGAAGTCTTTTATCCACATAAATAGATTGCCTCCAATCCCGACATTTCTTAACTTGTATAACAGCCGGTTGTGCGGAACCTTGTCAAAAGCTTTGCTGAAATCAACGAAGGCTACGTCTACAGGTAACTTTTGGTCCTTAAGAGCGCACCAGCTTTCACAAGCCACTAATAAGTAAGTGAGACAAGAGTAACCTATTCTGAAACCGTGCTGCTTCTCCAAAAGGATCTGGTTTTTATCGAGATACTTAAACAGCTCCTTCCGAATAGTCTTTTCTAAGATTTTAACAACCACACTGGTTAGGCTAACGGGGCGGTAATTCCCAGGTTTGTGTTTCGTACCTGTTTTGAAGACAGGACTTACTATGGCGTTTTTCCTGTCTTTGGGTAAACGACCCTGCGTTACGGATAGGTTAAAGCATATACTTAAAGGGTTCGCAACGAAGTTAGATAATTCCTTCAGTAGCCTAGGGTGTAATTCATCGGGCCCTGTGGATTTACATATGTCAAGCTTATTTAGTAGACCAAAGACATCGAGTTCTTTAATGGTCACGCTATCCAGTGTATGTGTGGGGGGATCTGTATGCGCTGATGGGAAGGGTGCTTCTATGGTGTATACATTGCTGAAGTAGTTTGAGAACACTTGAGCCTTACCAAAGTCGTCCTCCACTAGTGACGCGGCAGTACTGTCTCCCCATAGAGCAGGAATATTTCCTGTGCACTTAGTCTTTTGGTTTATATAAGAATACAAGCGTTAAGGACATTCTATGGATTCCTTAACAATCTTTTCTTCGTACAACTTTCTAGACTTACGGAGGGCCGAGGCACAGGTATTCCGGACTTTTCTATACTGGGACTTAGTTTCGTCAGTCCCCAGTAACCTAAATCTATCCAACATTTCTCCTCTCTTACGGAGAAGGATGCGGACCTCCCTACTGAACCATGGTGGGGAGTTTCTCGGTCCCCTTGTTATAGTCCAAGGGATGTGGGGTGTGGTAACTTTTAAGTATGAATTTCGAAATGCGTCCCAGGCCGTTTCAACTGAGGACTCTGGGTCTATTGTCCAATCTACTAACGATGCTGAGTGCGTGATATCTGGTATATTTGCTTTCCAGACGTTAGGTCTGGGTTGGGCTGACCCGTGCTCGTGACTGACTGTTATATGGAAGTCGAAAATAAAAACTGTGTGATCACTTTTACTTAAGGGCGGCATATAATGAAGGTTCGCAACGTCATCCACATAGTGAGTGAGTATCAGATCTAGTAAGGATGATTCAGTGTTCGGGTCGTACCTAGTCGCTTCTTTCACATGTTGCACTAGAGCACATGTGATGACCCCATCAACTAGTTCCTGCTCGAAAGAATTCTCCGACGATTTAGTTCGCAGATTTTCCCAGTCTACCATAGGTGCATTAAAGTTCACTACGATTAGACATCGACCACTTTGTGACCAAGTATTGAGACTGCTTAGCAGGACATCATTTACCTCACAGCTTGGACTGCGATAGACCAGACCAATCAGCAGCTCTTGTCCCTTGCATTTCAAGCGGAGACTAACTAATTCACACGTCCCACTCTCATGAGATACACTGTCGATAATGGCAAATGGGATAACATTCCTAATGAATAGAGCTACTCCCCCTCCTTTACGCTTTTGTATTCTGTCGGCCCTTACTAACGTAAAACCCTCGAAATCAAGTTCCATACTATCTATAGCCTGTGTCAGCCAGGTTTCTGTAACTGCGATTATGTCTGGCTTTGTAGAGTCAATCTGTACACCTAGTTCCGATCGCTTATTAAGTAAGCTCCGGGCATTACTGTAGCAGATCTGAAGCCTATTTAAATGGCTTCGTGCTTCACCCTGAGTGACTTCGGCATCATTTTCTGTCGAAGCCTTACAACCCGAAAATTTACAATTTTTAGGTCCTTTTCGCCAGTGTCTAACCTAAGTTGTAGTTCTTTTTCGGCTTCCCATCTTTTTACACGGTCTGCCAACGGTAAGTCCTTTCGTATAAAGACTCCTGGGCCCTTTAATTTGTGTCCATTCTGTAAAATTAGGTCACGTTCGTTCGAAGAGTTGAATACTACTTTAAGTAGTCTGGAATGATTTGGTTTCAAGTCCGCTAGACTCCCTAGTCTGTACACATTTAGCAAGGTGACCCCGTTGATATTTTGAGGCATGAGTTGATTAACCAGCTGCTTAATCAGCACAATGTCATGCTCAAAACGAGCTTTAGGTTCAGAGCTCTCACTCTCCTTGATTCTATGAAAAATAGCTGATCTGTCGCTATGATCAGCTTTCGATTTTACGACTGCTGTCGCAGGGGTAGGATTACCCTTTATATCGCTACATTTTTTATTCCTTACAACCTGTACCCACTCGTCAACGGTGCTGGGAGAAGAAACAAGAGTTGCGTCAAACCTAGTGTCGGATTCTGGAGGGTTGTCGACGACCTGAGAGGTCAGGTTATGTTTACCGCTTGAAACCGATTGAGCCTTGCGATTGCGGCTTCTAGGCGTTTCCTGTGGGATCCCATCTGGGAGACGGGGAACAGAAGAACCTACTTTCCTTGAGCTTTTGTTTAAGTCAGGCCCCTTTGGAGACTCCTTTTCATTCTTTGACCCGCGTGAGTCATCTACTATCGAATTAACCTTAGTTTGCTTCATTTCGATTTGTTTATCGACAGATCGAGTGCTGTTTGACGTGTTCCGACTACGCTTGCTAAAACACTTCTTTGCAGCATCAACCAGTGAGATGGCCTCGGTTAACAGGCTGTTTGCATCCGAACACCACTGTTAACAAAGCCATACGCAACCCTTCTTACTGAACCGTTTGAAGGCCGCAGGCGTTGAGTTCGTGCAAACTTCGTGGTGCCAGCTTTTGCACTCGTCCCACTGCATGCTGCCTTCAACGGGATAGCGACAACCCGGACGATGGCAACTGCTGTTTTTACACTGTCCGGTCATTTAAAAGGAGTCCTTTTCAAAAAGGGACGAGATGCGATGATACTCAAAAACAAAAAATAACCAATGACCAGAAAGCGAAGAGCTGTAGATTGTTAGGACCAAAAGTACTAACAGATACAATTGAAAATGAGGTACTCAAGAGTACCAATGAAAAAAGTAATTGAGAGAGCGGTAAAAACGGTACTCTAGTCGAACACTTTAAATGGAATGAATTCAAATAAAGTGAAAACAATAGTCTTGATACGTAATAAACGATCAAAACAATGAAATTTACTCAGTGAGAAAACATACCACTGTCCTTTTTAAATAATAATAATAATAATAATTTATTCTCAAATAACAGTTTGTTACATGAGGCATGCCAGTTTACAGGCAAGATCAAATTGATACAAATGACACAATATACACTGTAGTAAATTACATAGCTGGGTTGATAATTTATAAGATATGAATGTAGGATGGTTTTAATCAGTACCACAGTTGGCGCGCTTCATGAAAGTTGCGTTGCGAATGTGCAACTGATGGTCAAGGATAGGTCCATTGAAGGTGGGAGCTTCTAAGTATCGCAACCTTATGTCCCTTTGGAATGTCTAAGGCTTTGAAGATGGTGCAGGATGAAGTCACCCGTTCCATATCCCAAGGGGGCTGAAAGAGGGAGCAAGTAAAAGAAAGGACGAGAGGCAGAGTAGCCAATATTCATGAAGGAATGTTTAAGGCATGATTACTCAGTCTAATTTTCTTTTATTAAGGTGTTTGTTAAGAAAGAGCATTTAATAGGAAAAATAAAGTAAGTGTTAACAAGGTGTGAGTGGACATACAACTGACAAATGGAGGCGATTCGGAAAGGAGCTGAGAGTATGGGATTATGTGTGGTTATAAAATAAAAGATAGTGCTAGAAACAGTATTGTGATACACAATTGGCTATCTTCCTTTTATTATCGAAGCTATTAGAGCCCCTTTCGTTTTTTGTATTATTATTTTTGTCAGGTATTATAGGGTCTTGAGTCGGCTTCGTATATTAGTGAATTGTCTAGTTTGCTTGTAATAGGATTTCTGGGTAGGAAGTGAAACCAATTCAACGTTCGTAACACGACTTAAAGAGGTATTTTGCGTGATAAATCAGCATCAATACCATAAGTTCGTGACATCCCACTAAACCATAAGGAGCCGTAATTAAAAAAAATTGTTCTGCCCTACAGACATGGGTGGATTGAATTTATCGCGCGCGTCAGATTTGTTTTATATTGATCTTTGCAAACTGGATGACGCTTCAAGTCAGAATAGTTCTTGGGAACATGAACGCTATAGCAACTTCATTCTCCCAAAGAATGCACGAGACTTTAGATTTGATGAAACTGTTAAAACCCCGTCTCAAATCTTTGGAGAACAATCATCTCTATTTAATATCCGTTATCAATGCTTGAAAATAACGAAAGAACCAGGAGATGACTGGGTGAAGCATGCAGGAATTGTGAATCGAGAATGTGAGAGGTTCAATTTGTCCTCCATGACTGAAGACCAATTTAAATGCCTAGTGTTTAACTGTAGCCTGCGTTCACCCGAGGATGCCGACATCCGAACGAGAATTCTAAGCAAGCTAAAACACTGCCCCAACATGACGCTGCAGGAAGTATCTACCGAATGCCGAAGGTTAGTGAATCTGAAGCATGATGCCTCGATGGTAGAGAACGGCGACCGGTTCCTTCATGTCAATGCAGTCGAGAGAAAAATCTCACAAGGTTCCAGCACTCAGAATTATCGTAATGACAGCAAAAAACCATCATCCTCATTCTGGTTATGTGGCGGTTGGCACTTCTAAAGGTTTTGTCCGTTTAAGAATCATCGTTGCACTGTGTTCCAGAAAAAGACAAAGAAAGTCATTGCAAAACTCGAAAACGCCGCCAACCGGAAGAGTATTCTAAGAGATTCAAACCACAAACAGCTGAAGTAACGGTAGCTCATCACAAAGCTGGCTCCCATAACCGCAGAAAGTATGTTTCTCGCAAGATTAATGGGTATAATGCCCGCTTACAGTTAGATACATCCTCTGATATAACGCTTATAAGCAGGAGAACGTGGGAGAAAATTGGGAAACCGAAAATATATTAGACTCATGAATTAGCACATAGTGCATCCGGGGGAATTCTAAACATTGCGGGCGAGATTCATTGTGAAGTCACAGACAAAGAGTCCACGGAGAAGGGTGTAATATTTCTGACAGACAGTCCATCACTCGATTTATTGGGGCTTGATTGGATAGAAAGGTTGAAGTTAACAGATCGCCCCATAAACTCAATCTGCAACAACGTCAGTACATCGGAAGTTGATGAGAACTCAGTGGACACATTCAAAAGAGCACTACTGAAAGGGGAAGGAGAGAGGACAAGTCAGGTAATTACGAAATTCTTAACAGCTTATAGAACTACACCTAACTCTATTGTCCCAAATGGGAAGTCCCCTGCTGAAGCGATGTTCGGGAGAAGCATCCGAACCATATTCGACGTCATGTTACCACCTAAACTAATGGATGGACTCACACAAAATCAGAATATTCGTAGTGTTAACGTCGGTGATAAAGTGCTCGTCAAATCATACATTGGGAAAAATCGTTGAGAACCGGGAGTCATTGAGAAGAGAATAGGGAGTTTTATACAAAGTGCGTGGGGCTTTCGGAATGTGGATTAGACACTATCAAATACACAGAGAGAAAAGGACTCTAGACAGGGTAGATAATCAAGTGAGGCTTTCGCTGGATATAATTAGATACTCCAATGACAGGAACGCCAACAGATACTCATAGACGCCGGATACCCAGAAAACCCGAACGCCGCAGGAAACCAGTTACAAAACTGCAAGTAGACCCGAAGAAGTTTTATTTTTTGAAAGAGGGGTGTTGGGGTGATCCAGAAATCGCTTACAAAACACAAGCAAGTATCAAGAAACACTAAGAAGCGTTTCGCCCAATCAGCGTTCACTTGGAGTCTTGGCCAGAAATATCAAGGTAGCGAAACGCCACATGCGGAAGCTCTGATTGGTTGGCTACTACACTGCTACTATGTTTAGTAGCACTCCAGAATATTCCAGCGACCCAATGACATTTAAAATATTATAAAAACCCTATATTTTCTGTGATAGAATGAATCTTGGAGTAAACTACTTCTCGCATACTTTGAGTCTTCTCTCTCGTGATCAGGTCGCTGTATAGTTCTAGCTTGGAGGTTACAGAATAGCTTAGGAGACAAATATAGCGTTCATAATCCGCAAGACTTATCATTAGCACAACAAGATGAACTACCAGATTTAAGCTAAAATATTAGTTAATCTGATCGCTAAAACTAGACCACCATTTTTAAAAACCTCTGGAGTCACTCCATGTGGACCAGCTGCTCTTCTGCGTTTCAGGTCAGCAATAGTTTTTTTAATTTCAATGAAAGTCGGAAGGCTTTATTCAATGTTCCACTCAGGCTGTTTGAAAATGCTTGGTAGCTGAAGGTTTACATAATTCCTACCTCAGGGCTAAAACTAGGTAGTTGACAAAAGCAGAAATATCGTCAGTTCAAGCTCGATGGATTGGCTGATTATACTCGTGTCACTGCTAGGAGCCACATTGTGCGTAGTAGTAGACCATTTACAGATTCGTTTGAATACGACACACCTAACTTGAGCTTGAACTATTCTACTGGTGAGGCTGTGTTTATGTTGCTTTGGAGATTGTTACGTACAGTACTTATTTCCAACAAGAAGTAGAATCCATTCTGAGTGGTTGGTAGATAGTATGAAGATTGTAATGTCACATCTCTTTGTAGCTAAACACGAATAACTCGAGCCGTCTGAGATCAGAAATCCTTATAACGATTCTGGTCGTGCGTTCCGAAATTTTCTCCGAAAGATTTACGTTTTGTTTAAAGTAGTTGTAACTTCTAAGGCATCGCGTGACGTACATTTAAAACAGCGTAAAAAACAGTGAATATAACTAGCTGTTTAAATAGGAACTAAATATAAGACGTTCAGTACGTTTTCTGAGTTGATTAGAATCCTGAAAGTACAATTACTTAATATGTAATTACATTATCCAAAAATGCACCAATCAAAATGAATATCCAAATATCTTACACACGCAACAGACACAGAAACCTCCAAATAAAAAATCGAAATCCCTTTTCAGCCGCCTATGCATTATAATAATCTCTGTTGAAAATGTGTCAGTTATATTAGTGAACGGATTTTTGGAACCAATTACATAAACAAATTAAAAATCAACTTAAAATGAAAATTTACTAAGGATGTTTTCAGTGCTAAAGAAACAACTGTTAACATGCATGTTATTTTCGAATCAGTTCTTTAGAAAAAAACGTTTAATATTTTTTCAAAGGAAAGAATAATTACAAAAGTGTACAAACAACATCATTTTTACAAATAACGTGCAAACCCTATAATTTTTATTTCCTACGGTAAGGGTTTAAAAGAAGTTCGGAGAATTCTTGAACAGACTTGATTCCTCTTACCTCATTTTCTAATTGAGGTAATTGTATGACATGCATGTCTTCATATAGTTCTAAAATTTGTTCCAGATATTTCGATTGTATTCGATGACGTGCTAAGCACATTCGACAATTAGATGGAGGTTCATTCGAATGATCCTTAGATGAGACATCACATGACAATAAATTTGGGAACAATAGTTGATTTACAATGACATTGTGGACATCAATATCGTGTGCAGTGAGTTCCTATATATTTAGAAATAAAATTAGATAAAATTGTCACAAATTCTATGCAACAAAACAATAAAATGAAAGGTGAAGAATTGGCAAATATCTGGATGATACGTTTGTGTGAAAAACGGAATGAAAGGATTACATTCCTAGCACATCATGATTCTTGCTGAACATTACTTCGGTTTTAAATTCAATATGATTATTCAGTATAATATTTGTTTTGCTTTCAGTGTGATAGTTTATTCAGTACAACATTGATTTATTTCAGTGAGATGCATATTCAAGATTTGATATTCTTGAGATATGAATTAAGGCGAACTATGCTTAGCATGATGCCCAGCATGTGATTTCTTTATAATTTCATTTATGTGACATTTCCTTAGTAACTAATTAAATAGGTGTACAAATCAATGAAATTCCGACTAGGGTCATCGAATTTATTTTGCAGTCGGTAAATCTTCACTTACACTAATCTTCCAAGTTCTAACTTCGCGTCGTGGGAATAATAGTGATTCCCCGTTTTAAGTATAAGTAATAAGCGACGCGGACGCAATACAAAAAAATGAGAAGTGAATTTGGTTATTTAGTTACTTTGAAGAAGTGGCTTGGGTTAAGTCACAAAACGTCAAAAATACAATTTTTCTACCCATTGCGATATAACAAAAAATAAATTTATTATCAACTTTCTACTTGATGCCCAATCTATTTGAAACTCAAGCTCAAACTTGGCGTTGATACCTATAAATGAGAAGTGAAGATTGAAAATGGATATTTGAAATTATGGACAAAAAATACATCACAAGTATTTCAGACCAACAAAGAGTAGAGTGAACAAATCACACTGTTAGGCGACTGTTAATGGGAATTCATTCTAGTGCTTGTTGTGACTTCGTACTCAATGCTATGCCTACATCTGCCAATCCATGATAATTTGCCGTTGGGTCGCCAGAAAAACGGATGGTGTATCTCGTCAACTCTTCGTTTTGGCAAGGTGAGGTCAAGCAAATGAGCACACTAGGATCCTTATGCGTGCTTCGGAGACACAGCATTCATCAGTGGTACGAGATTCTAAGGTTTTAGCCAAGGAGTGGGCGTACGTTGAAGGCTTCAATGTGTAGTTTGGAGGGAGGTTTCAGTAAACCTGAGAGTGTTTTGTACACTAGAATCGTTGGCCATAGTGACATTTGAGGAGGAAGGAAGTTTAGAGTTGAAAGTCGATGTAGGAGGAATAACGGAATTGAAGAGGAAGATTGATTTGAATACAGCGATCTTGAGTGCTGTTGGAGGCATGAGGACAGTTATCAATTCCCGATTTCCCACACCGTGGAAAGGTTATTCTAGAGGTACCTGAAAAGGAAATTGGATTAGGGGTGATGTTAGTGACCTAAGAGCGTGATCCCAGTGCCCAAAGGACAACTCCTTGAGGTCGGTCACAAACGATATTCTTGTGAGTAATTTTCGTGCTATAGGAACTTTGTCGCCGGAGACAGAATTCTGTGGGATAAGGTGAAGTGTGTATTTTTAGGGTCAACCTTTTCCAACCTCACAAGTCCTTGTAGGAAGGCAGCATCGCTGTTATGCTGGTTGTCTGAAGGAAACGCCAAAGCAGCACGAAAAGCACATATGAGATGGGAGTTCTATGGGACTAGAAAAATCAAAGCATTCTAAACAAAGGAACGGATGATAATGAATATTATCTAGTGCGATACAACCACCAATGATAGCAGTGGAGAAGCACGTAATAAAACAGACAGCTTGCACGCAACTAGACGATTTGGACTTCGCATATATTCTAGGCCCCCTATTCCATACACAGCAACAAATGAAGGTGAAGACAATCAACAAAGCAGCAGCAACTGTAAGAGTAGGCATGAACATGCCCGGCGAAAAAAGTAAGATTCTGAAAAACAACAGAGACCATCACACACTTGATGGAGAAATCCTGGAACACGTCGGAAGTTTTACGTAACTGGGAAGCATCATCGATGAAGAAGGAGGATCTGATGCAGACGTAAACACAAAGATTGGTAAAGCAAAGGTGGAATTTCCTCAGCCTCCATCAAAGTCAGAACGTTCAATATAAACGTCAAGACAGTTCTATTGTATGAAGCCGAAAAGTGAAGAACTACCACAGTCATAAAAAATGTACAGGTATTTATAACTAATTGTCTACACCAGATACTCCAGGTAAATTGGCTGGATATTATTAGCAACAACCTACTATTCTAGCGGACAAACAAGCTCCCAGATGAAAAGTAGGTTAGGAAAAGACGTTGGAGGTGGATAGGACATACAATTTGGGAATAACTACCCTCCATCACGAGGAAAAATCCGTCAGGAGCCCCTCTGAGGCTATTGCCGGTCCCAAGCCCGGATAAAGGAGAGTTGGGTGTGGGGTTGCCGACCCCATCTCGTAGAAAACCAACTCGCTAAAAAACGCTAGCCAGAGAAAAGATTATTCAAACCACTTAAACTCTGCCCTGGGAACCAGGTCTTCATTTAGAAGAGTTATGACGCCTCATGGTGAAAGCCGAGTTCATTCGGAATCCACGAGGCTAATGCCCATTCTGACAACCAGAGCACCCATTTATTTAGGTACATGGACTGCTCGTACAATATGGGAGACCGGAAGAGTCTTCCGAATTGCTGCAGAAATGAGGAGATACAACCTCGAGTTGCTTGGGATCAGTGAAACACATTGGACAACAACGAATAGCTTCAGGAGAGGTTCTGTTATACTCTGGTCATAAAGAAGAAAAGCTCCACATACACAAAGAGTTGCATTGATGCTATACAAATAAGCACAAAATGCACTTGCAGGATGAGAATCTCATGGACCAAGGATCATTAAAGCCTCCTTCAAAACAAACAAAGAGGGCATCTCAATGAACTTCATCCAATGCTATACGCCTACCAGCGAGTACAATGAAGACGTTAAAGACCAATACTACGATAGGCTGCAGTCAGTTGTCGAGAAGTGCCCAACAAGGGACTTGATCATTATCATAATAGAACTAAATGCCAAGTTTGGAATGGAAAACACCGGATATGAAGACATCATGGGACGACATGAACTAGGAGGAAGGAACGAAAATGGTGAGAGATTTGCAAACCTATGTGCCTTCAATAAACTGGTTATAGGCGGCACCATATTCCCACACAAACGCATACAAAAAACCACATGGACTTCACCGGATCACTCTACACAAAACCAAATCGACCATATCTGTATCAACAATGGACGATGGAGGATACGAAACCAAGAGAGGAGCTGATAAAGCATCAGATCATCACTTGCTGGTCACCAAGATAATGTGGAAACTCAAGAACCACCGAACAACGAGGCGGACAACATCACAAAAGTTTACTACGGCTTTTCTTCAGGATACTAACAAACTCAACAAATTCAAGATAGTCCTCAGCAACAAGTTCCAGGCCTTTCATGATCTACTCAATAGAGAAGGAACTACTATGGCGAGCAACTTGAAGGGGATCAAAGAGGCAATCACTTCAACATGTCATGAGGTCCTGGGTCACAAGAAGCACCATCACAAGGAATGGATCACTGTTGATACACTGGATAAGATTCAAGAAAGGAGGAATAAGAAGCCAGCAATCAATACCAATCGAACAAGAGCAGAAAAAGCCAAGGCACAAGCTGAATACACAGAAGTAAACAAACAAGTGAAGAGGAGCATCAGAACCGACAAACGTAAATATGTGGAAGATCTAGCAACGACAGCGGAAAAGGCTGCAAGAGAAGGAAACATGAGACAACTGTATGACATAACAAACTCTCTGGAAATCGCCGCAAATCAGAACGACCAGTGAAAAGCAAGGAAGGTGAGGTAATCACCAACACTGAAGAACAACGAAACAGGTGGGTAAAGCAACATACAAAAAACAGGCTAAACAAAAGAAGAGAAAGCAAACGAACATTAAAGCAGTGATAGAAGTGTTATAATTCGAAATTCTGTAGCCTAAGGGTTCTAAGGTTAGCTACTGTGTTTGGTATTATTTGTCGCTGGTGAAAATTTGTTTCAGTTTTTGTACTAATCACCTCGATCACGTATGTGTATTGAATTCTGTTTATAATATTGGTATTTAAATAGAAGTTATTGTTTGTTAAAATTTTCGTCCTCGCTTTCACCAATTATTGCATTATTAATATAGAGATTAATCAGAACACTAAACATGTTACGATGTGTTGATTTATTTATATCTTAATATTTAAACTTCATAAACACTGATTGTTTATAAATAAAAGGCTGTTTAAACTTCTAGACATTGACAACCCAGGGGTGCAACGGACATGAAATAGTAAGGATTTTTAGAAATTTAAAAAGAAACAGAATGCTTAACGAATAACTTACGAAGCCTTTGTCCTCAGTCAGGGAAAATAGAAAAAAATATTCACACCGATTTACATCGAAACTGTTTTCCATGATTGTGAACAGATTACCGTAAATTGCATAATCCATTTTAAATTTATTTATAGGTCTTACTATATTTTAAAGATTTTCATTGCTCCCTCTCACATAAGAATGGTTTTAATTGCTTACTTAATAATTTAATGGAGCCAGAGATGTGACAATTTGAATTAACTCTTTTCTGAGGACAAGAATTAAGTTTATGTGCTAATCAAAGAGTTTGAATTATTTCATATTTAATTACCAGACATATCAATACATGAATGTGAAAGAAAAACAATGAAACTAGTGCAGTTGTGAGAGTGTGCTTTAAGACCAACAATCTGGCCCTTCGAGAGCTTAGCTGTGAATCATGATAGATGCGCGAGCCTTACCTCCATTTCTACCACTAAGCTACTTGTTAGTGTTATTAGAATGGCATGCTGAGGTATATAGTAGTTAATTCGCAAGAACTTGGTGGCTATTTTAACTTCTACCCCTTACACTAATTTCCCTTATCGATTATATATATATATATATATATATATATATATATATATATATATATAGCAAAAATACAAAAGTGAGTAAATTCTCCTTCTGTAATATCCAATGTGTCATTAGGCCATAGTAGTAAATCACATAATTACTTAAAAATGACGATAAAACTGTGCCGAAATAGAATATATAACTCACTTGAACTAAGCGTTCCGTTTCGTACATGCTTAAGAATTCGGGTATGCAAACACATACAAATGTAGTCTGAGTGGAATCTTTAAACTGCTTTGTTATTTCTTTAACGATAGGTAAACGTGTTTCTATTGCATTTGTTAAATCACCACCTTGTGTACTGTTCATTCCGACTAAACCCATTAATTGGTTTAAAATTGGAGCGAACTACGAATTATTGAAAACACAGGAACAAAATATTCGAAAGAGTCAACTTCAATTTTAACTTGGAATAATAGTGAGTAGACGGAAACACAAGATAAAAAGAGAAATTATATGCATTTATTTTGTGATTACATGCAAAACCCCATAATATACACCCATAGCATATAGCATTTTTGAACATAGTACTACGTATTTTATACAAAAATATTACATTCATAATATGAAAATCGGCTTCAATACTCACGAATTATGAAGAATGTTTACTAAGACTGGAATGTGGTATAACCCTCGGTTTTACTTCGTCTAATGCTATAACGGATGGGTTCCCACGTTTACAGGTATAGGACGTTAATCTACCTTAAACGAATATCTACGCTACATTCCCTCCCAGTATCTATTATACAGGACGTCAGCACAACTCAGATCAAGAACACGTGATTAGCCTGACCACAACGTAATGTATTTCCACACCAAAACCCGACACAATTCAACGACAATGAACAATGAGTGAGTCATAATATTAATAAGGATAGGGGAATATATAACTTATCTGACACCTGTCAGACTATCTACATGTCCGACTAAGCAGACAACCAATCATGATCATTCTCGCCCACGCATCAAGATGTCGAACAAATAATTTGGAATAATTTTTTATTTCGATGGCCTTTACGAACCAACTTGAGTCGAAGACGACAAGAATTCACTTGGCATTATCCACCTTTAACAACTGGTTGAGTTAGTGAAGCATCTAGAAACAACACTAGGTGCGGCAAATGAATAAGTTTAAGTAAATTTGTATGATTCCACCATGTATTACGTAGGACCAGTTGGTAATTACCTTTACTCATTCTTAAACATTTTAAAAACAAGTATGGAAATGCGGTTCACGAAGATGGACGGAAGATATCATAATTCACGCAAAAAAAGTATGCGAGACAAGTGTAAAATTATTTAAGCAACCGAAATAACTTTTTAATGCACGTAAAATATTTAGATTTTTTCGTGATACACAAATACTGGTCCGAGAACTTCTCTATTCAAGAAACTTTCCATGTGGTTGATACAGCAGTATTATACGATGACATGCTAACTACACGAATTGCACTAATTCGGTTGGTCCCAAACTACTGCTAAGGAAAAAGAAACATAACGAGAAGCAAGAAACAGATAGTAATAATTTGTTAAGCGATGCAGCGAGATTAGACGAATGCAACTGTTATTCACACTTAATATTCGTAATTTAAATAAGAGGTTTGTCATCTGTTCCACTTGATGAAGTAACACCAACCTACTACGTGATTCGATCAGTAAGAAATTCACTTCCCAGTCTAAATAATACTCCCAGAGTGGTGTATCAACAAATAGAAAGTGTTTTCAAGATATTAGACGACTAATACATTTGATTTTCTAAAACAATTTACATTTAACTCATGGTGGGCTCAATAATAAGTTGAAAGAATTAAATTTGGAGTAATACATGGTTATTTACAAGTCTGTATGGGAAGATACACTAGTCTTGGTAAATAAATTCCCCAAAGCCCTCCAGAGTGTTTTAAGTGAACCCATGTAGTAACTAATGAAAACAAGTAGTGTTTACTTGTAGCTATGGTACACATCTTAAATTACGTTAGTAAACATTTAACTAGTAAAAAATGATTTTCCAGAAAGTTGACCAGATTGGAACAATTGCTACTTACCTGATTTTTCATTGAGACTACCTTGCTAAGGCTTTTCTCCATAGCCTCTGGAAACGCTAACAATCGTAGTGTGTGGCCAGTAGGAGCAGTATCAAAAATGACGACTGAATAATCCATATTGCGGACCAACCGAAACACCTCTGTATAAGACATATACTCATCCACTCCAGGGAAAGAAGTCATCAAGTGACCGATGGTTTTACGTATATCAGCGGAAACTGCTGCTTCTTCAGAACCAACCAGATCCTCTTCGAACTCTCCTAAGTTCACATTTGGATCAATTTCCATAGCAAAAAGATTATTAAAACCCTAAAACCAGAAAAGAGTACATCCTGGACAGTTAGAATTGACGAAAAGTATTCCTGAAGTTTAAAAAGGGTTTTGCCAACTTACGTCACCTATGGCGAAGGCGAGATATCCATCTATCAATAAAAGGACGAGTATACTGTGCAGTAGTTCATTCTGTTTTACTTTGCGGCAGCGAAACATGGCCTTTAAAAGTAGAAGACACCCGTAAGCTACTAGTATTTGACCACAGATGCCTTAGAAATATTGCTGGCGTCTGTTGGGATCACCGGGTAAGTAATAGTGAGGTCAGACGCAGGGTATTAGGGAATGGTAGTAAATCAGTTGATGAGGTTGTGAATCTTCATTGACTAAGATGATCGAGCCACGTGTTATGTATACCTGAACACCGATTACCACGTCGTGCAATGCTAACGGGTGTTAGAGATGGTTGGAAGGGAATTAGAGGCGGCCAAACCAAAACCTGGCATCAGTGCTTGAAGTCACTAACTTGTAGTCTGAGCCATGTTGGTAGATGCAGAATACTTGGTTGGGGTCCGCGTGACTATCGTAACCAATGGTTGGAGACTCTTGGTGACATGGCTCAGAATCGATCACAATGGCGTCGGTGTATACACTCCCTGTCTTCCCTTAAACTAAAAGATTAAAATCGCTTCATATCTTTCTTTCTACTAACTAATTCTTTCTTCCTGTACTGTATCCTTATATGCAATCTTTCTCCTACATATTAGCACCTTTGACCTAACCACTCCTATGAATCCGGTGTTCATCTTGCTGTGCTAATGCGGTATGGCAACCTGGACCGATGCATATATGTGCCTGGTCCTACGTTGTAGCTGACTGACTGAAAAAGGACAACATGAGAAACATCCTCTCAAATTTGAACGTCATTTAGTTAGATCTGTATTTAAGTAACTAATTTGTCAAGCAGAAATTTTTCCATTTATCTTCAGGTCAAAATACTTGTGCATTGGCTATAAATACTATCTAGCTGTCTAAATCAAGATAAGAGGAATAGGACTCGAACTCGCGATCTATTATTTAGAACAACAATCTCCTAATTACCAGGCCATCACTCATTTTGACGATGGATTCAGTTACGGATTGATATTAGTTCAAAAATGATTCCACACGAGACCATTCTACAGTTATCACTTTTTGGAAGTCCTCATCTATGGCATCTAGTATTTAATACTTTACTAGATGATATCAGTTCCTGTCAAAACTTTTCTGAAACCTGGATAATAATGATAATAGTAGTAACTTTATTCAATATTGCATGTTCAGTACCAAATAAGATTCTCAACAAACCCTAAAAATCACCTAATTACTCATTAGCGATTAGCTTCAGATATTTTCTGAAGTTTCACTGATAATCCGTGACCTCAGTATCAACCATCTAGGCAGTAAGGAAGTTATCCCCTCACCACATTAGATAATGATCCCACTGGAACATAAAAACCATTGGATACTGACACAGTTGCTGAGTGCGTTTGTCGGGAAACCTGGAGGCCCTACACTTAATATAGTCTGGTAGTTTGTGTGCACTAACGATAAAGTAACAGCTATCGTGTGCTTCTAGTTTGAATGATTATCCAATTGATGTCAGTCCATAATGAATATTACCTTTGGTCTAATAAATCTTTAAGTCGGTAACGTTTGAAGTAAATTTATTACCCATGACCAAATCAATAATTAAATTTGTAAACTACAAAACTTGAAATATAACGTGTATACACCGACGCCATTGTGATCGATTCTGAGCCATGTCACCAAGAGTCTCCAACCATTGATTACGATAGTCACGCGGACCCCAACCAAGTATTCTGCATCTACCAACATGGCTCAGACTACAAGTTAGTGACTTCAAGCACTGATGCCAGGTTTTGGTTTGGCCGCCTCTAATTCCCTTCCAACCATCTCTAACACCCGTTAGCATTGCACGACGTGGTAATCGGTGTTCAGGTATACATAACACGTGGCTCGATCATCTTAGTCAATGAAGATTCACAACCTCATCAACTGATTTACTACCATTCCCTAATACCCTGCGTCTGACCTCATTATTACTTACCCGGTGACCCCAGCAGATGCGAGCAATATTTCCAAGACATATATGATTAAATACTAGTAGCCTACGAGTATCTTCCACTCTTAATGATCACGTGTCGCAGCCATAAAGTAGAACAGAATGAACTGCCACGAAGTATACTTGTCGTTTTATTGGTAGGCGGATATCTCGCTTTCGCCAGATGGTTTGGGACCTTATCACAAATGACTTAAAGTAGAAGTTAAGGTTCTTCATGATTTATTTATTTATTTTAACACATAGATATTGGTACGAGGAGGCACCAAATACATATGCGCCACACAAATCTGATTCGATATGTGTGAGGGCTGTGATACTGTCCGGGTGCCCAAACCGAAGCACAAACATATACCTCCAAATTAAACAAATTTCGCCTTGGTTCTTATTCAGAACGTAACCTTCGATTGTTTTGATGTTTATTTTGATTATATAATTTCCACTCCTATATATTTACAATCTTATCACTTCGTTTTGTATAATAAACACCATCAAGTTCGACGTGTGATAAACAAAATAACAGTAAAATTAAATGGCCAGGAAATGGAATGAATACCAGCGCCAACTGACCAAGTTATCACATAATACCAACTTCGTATACATTATCCGGTCTCATAGAAAACCAGTAGCAGCCCTAATCCTTTAACGGTATCGTCATGGACTGAGTCATTAAAAGACAATCGAACTTAAGGAAGAAGAATTCTTCTGCAGAATTGTATGTGTTTTCTTTAGATTAGCTCGAGCAAGACCGAAATTCGGGTTCTGGACTTCTTTTTGATTGTTTTCTAACAACGAAAAACAAAATTTCTCAAAAGTACTACATTCTTTAGTTGTCAATGTGGACAGCCTATTAAGTAATCAAACCGAAACCGTGAGGAGAAAAAATGATCTGGTATGTCTGTATAAACAGGAAGCAATCTGCAACTCTCATTTTTAGGTCTGCTACATCTGATGAAATAAGTAACAAGTATTGCGGTGATTGTTTGCATAGTGAATCACATCTCTACGTCTAAAAATGGAAAAGTAAGGAAACTTGGTTTTCTGAGTTACTGGGGAAAGTGTTTTACCGAATTGTGTGAATGAACTATGTTAGTGATAATATCTAAAAATTCGGCTCCACAAGATTTGACTAGAAAATAATTAAGTCAGTGACAGGCTAAAAGTGACATACATCCATTGCCAAGTTGGACTGAAAATTTATTTATTTATTCATTTAAACACACAAGCATTGGCACAAAAGAGACACCAAATAGATATGCGACACATAAATCATCCAATTTGTGTGAGGTCAGGTATACTGCATGGGTGCCCAAGCCGAAGCAGGTGGTTTTCTTAGGGGCCTATACCCATAGCCTTTGACCTAAGGGTCTAATCCACAAGGTGGTGGAGCAACGTGCCCCCAAAAACGGCCAAAAGTGGGGAGTCAGCCCTTTCTATCGAAATGCTCTCAAATAGCGACGTGCATACAACCACTGTCAGTTAAGTCCTACTCACTGTCTTCTCCCAGAGGGGGTGTTGTTTACGAAATTAAAAGGACGAAAAGTGAATGTCCAAAGCTTTAAATGAGTTGGTGGACACGGAGAGTCTACCTGGAGGAGTTGGAAAACCTTGGTTCCAAACCAATGGTACATATAGTCTCCAGAATTCTGAGGGAACGAAAGGTGTATGAACCCATTGTTGGTCACCGGCTACCATGTGACTGCATCCCGTAACGTTGCTCCACTACCTTGTGGATTAGACATTTAGATTAAAGGCTCAGGGTGCGACCCCCAAGAAAACCACCTACTTCGGTTTGGGCACCCGAGTAGTAGCCCAGCCATCATACAAATCAATGATAACTACTACTGGCCTCATTTTCATTGTGACGCATATGTATTTGGTGCTCACTTGTACTAATGTTTATGTTCAAATAAATAAATAGTAAAAACGTTTTGGTTGGCCGGTTTAAATAGTGGTTGATGCCTACCGATGTGCCTAAGTGTGCCTACATGTACATTTTGTATACAAAGGAAGATAATTACATAATTGGAGAAGTTATGATGCTTTTAGTTCTGTTTCACAATGATCTAGGGGTAATAGTGAGTCCGACCTCACTGCCTAGCGGTTGGAACCCTAGTTGAATTAAGATAGACACATACCAAATCGGATACGAAAGTGTTTGTTACAATTTTAGTACGTTCCAGACTTGAAAACTGGGTCCAAACTGCAAGTCCATGCTTTAAAGATGAATAAATACCTCAGAAAAATCACAAAGGACAGCTAAACGAACAATTCCAGAATTCCGAGGCTTACACAAGGTGCCTTGAGTAGTTAGACCACTTTACTGAGTCTTATCATAAAGATGTGATCCGATTTTGATATATAGATTACTAAATGATTTCGAAACTGAAATATCCTCCCTCCTGCTTCCTAAAAAATCAGCACAACTCAGAGGAGGGGAATTCAGAAGTAAAGAACCGACAAAATATCGGCAGAAAAAGATTTTCCCACCGAGCCAACGACTTTCAGGACCTACCAACGTAAGAAGAGACGTCTACACTTTCAATCGACCCATCCAAGAGAAGATATGAGGCTCATAGAGGCTTAGAGGAGACTACAACTTATGAACTAACCAATCAGATGGAGGATGGTAGGCCTTGGATTTTGGTGCGAAATTCATTTGTCCATTTGGCTAAATAGCGTCTTGGTATCATAGCCTATGTTGGTTCGTGATGAAAACCCTAAATCTAATCCTTAACCAACAACCATAAATCATAATTCTAATTCCTCACATTGCTCAATAACCGCCCTTTAGTCTTAGTAGGCAGACATTCTCAGGGTCACTTTACTGTGACACAAAGGTCGTGCATAAGCTATAGTCTCACCAGGGCTTGCTAAAAAAGGACTAACACAGGCCATTGTTCTCATGTCTTTAGTACATACATCGGAATCTCAAACCTGAAAAGTATTCCTCTGTATAGAAAATACCAATAAACTGAACCCCAGGTATATAAACATTTGTTTCCTAGCACTCCGATAAAATATTCTAAGCAGGTAGACACTAGAAAAAGCTGATTTGATCCGAGTATTTTAAATTTGAAGTACTAAAACGCCTATATTGCTAAAGCAAACGGAAATAAACTAATAGAAAATGCTGCGTCGATGAAAAATCAAAAGCAAGCTTCGTACTTACCCTAACTTTAGTAGGATTTTTCGAAAACTTTTGGTCAAACGCATCCGAAAGGTTATGAGCAGGATCCGTGCTCAAAATGAGAACACGTTCACGCACTTTGGCCATTTGAACAGCAATGCTGCAACTGCATGTCGTTTTTCCAACTCCACCTTTACCTCCGACAAAGATCCAACGCAAAGTATTTGAGTCCAAAATATTCTGAATAGTAGGTTCAGGTGTGTTCATTTTTACAGCTAAAGTACGAATCACAAATACAAACCAAATAGGAGACAAAATTCAACAAATATCCATTTTTACATTTTTTTTTCTGTACCCTAGACCAAAGTAATACCGCAGACAGCTTGAGAAATAGAAACTTTCGCATTGTTTGTCGCTCTGAGTCGAGAATGTAATAGAATTTACACCAAACTAATTTTTGGCTAGGTTTCCGCCATAGCTATATAGCTGTGACTTTCAAGTTATGACTTGGGAAGGCGAGAGCCAAATAGGAATTCTAGAAATTCTTCCATCTATAATTTGGTTTCACGTTAATTACAAATGCACTAGGCACAAATGTATAATCACCACCATACTTCAACACAGAAAATGCCAGGTAGTGTAACACGTGTAATCAGCAGTCACTGAAAGGTAGGAAGACCCAAAACCACAACACAAACAATGTTAACTAAGCAGTTCACACCACAGAGAGAGGACACGGAGTGAAAATTCGCGGGTTATGTACAGAAGGGAGAGCTAGTCTAAAAAACAGTCTTATCAGTCATCCTGTAGGTTCAGTGCATGCAGAGCTTGCTCTTCTTCTACCAAAGCATTCATTCTTGGTTGCCCTGCAATAGAAAGAAAAACAGAATCTATTAACAGCAACACACATGATCTTAACCCTGTTACAGCAAATACTTTTAAACTAACCTCTTTTTAGGTCAGGAGCACAAAAATTCAAGTGCTCAGTCTTCAGTAATGAGGATAGTAGGTTGGTGAACCTGTGTTAATGCTGACAGATTGCCTTTCAGTGAAGGTCCAGTTTATTTTTGAAAATATTCACTGATGGGGCCGATACCACTTGTTCGGGTAAGGCGTTCTAATCATTGACTACTCGATGAGAAAAACGGAACCCCATTTTAAGTTTATTAGATCGCGATTTATGAACCTTCTTGTCATGACCTCGGAGATCATTAGTGCTGGAGGGAGCAAAAAGATAGGACATATTAACACCCGAATCATAATTAAAGATACGAAATGCCAGTATAAGGTCACCTCGTGTCCTACGATACGGCAAAGGGAAAAGATTTAGGCGTTTTAAACGCTCATCGTAAGGGAGTCTAGAAAGACCTTTCACTCATTTCGTTCCCACACGCTGGACACGATCAAGTGAGTTAGTATCCTTTACCAGACGTGGGCTAGCTGCTTGGATACAGTACTCTTAATGTGGCCTTACATAGGTAGGATATAAAATTCGAAACATTTCCTCGTCAAAAGACTTGAACGCTCGGCGACGTGACCATAACGCACGAAAACCTTCGACAGCGGCTGCGCTGCTATGCGTAGTTGTTTTTAAGTCATGACTTATTATTACTCTCAAGTCTTTATGCTCTTGAACGTATGGAGGAAGTTTACCATCAATAGTATAATGGCAACTATTACCGAGACCGATGTGAGTTAGCACACTCTTCTTTCCAACGAAATCGTCTAAGTCAGCTTGAAGGTCCAGCTGATCAGCCTCACTTTATATTGTTCTCCAGATTTTTACGTCATCCTTAAACAATAATGTCGACGACCTATGCAACAGCGGTAACTCACTGACGTAGAAAAGGAAGAGCAGAGAGCCTCAGATGGAGCCTTGGGGTACACCACTTTTGGCCGGCTTCCAATCGGAAAACGTCCCATTGACCCTCACTCTCTGTCTGCGGTCACATAAGAAAATGCCTATCCACTCCTGTACAGTACCTATTATTCCGAAGCTCGTGAGCTCCTGCATAAGACCTAAGTGTGAAACCTTGTCAAATGCTTTGTTAAAACCTTTTGAATATCACATCGACAGACAGACCTTTATCTAAGGCTGCTGTTCAATCCTCTCTCGCAATAAGTAAGTTAGTCAAGCATGAACGCCTGTTATGAAATCCACGTTGCTCAGGAGCTAACAGACTGTGTGAATCTATGTGGCTTAGCAACCCAACCCGAATTATCTTTTCAAATAACGTAACGACAATGCTAGTTAGACTGACAGGCCGGTAGTTAGATACTATCTGTCTTTTGCCATCCTTAAATATAGGACTGACTATAGCGTCCTTTCAATCTCTAGGGAGTTGAGCGAGTGAGAGGGACATGTTGAAGAGTGTCGCGAGCGGTTTTGAAATAATGTCCACAAGAGATGACAGCAATCGTGGATGGAACTGGTCAGGGCTCGGTATCTTACAAGGTTTGAGGTTAGTTATCAACGGAAGGACAGTTTCCTCAGTCGCCTGTACAGATTCAATGGTTGGTATCTCAGTGTGAGTGGGACAAGTTATTTGTTACAATAAACGTAGAGTAGACTTCGCTAAAATAGTTTGAAAAAGTCTCCGTTTTTGCCCGATCTGATTCAGCTAGTAAATCTGAATTTTCGTGTAACAGTAACGGGGGGAATACCATCACTACGTTTCATTTGCCGTTTAACATACGAAAACAATCGTTTCGGGCAATTACGGCTATCATATATAAACTGTCGTTCGTAAGTAGTACGGGATTCAGCTATGGTTTTCTTACAAGTATCCTGGAATTTTCGGTACTCACGCTTAAATGATACATGACCTGTCAACAAGAATAAGTCCCAGAAGTGTTTCCTACGCTTTAACAGCTTCCGGGTTTCCTTATTAATCCATGGAGGGCAATGTGATAGCTTACGTATTGACCATGGGGTAAACGGTGATGTTACGGACTCGAGTGTGGCCTTCAGTCAGTCAGTCAGTCAGTAGCCTTAAACTTACTCCATTCGTCTTCGATCGATTCATCCACATTGAACGGTCCAGATAACACAGTCTCTGATTGCAGGAATATTAGCTCGCCAGATATTGGGACGGGATGGATCAGATATAAATTGTATGCCACGTGTCCGAAACTCAAAGTACAACGTGATCACTGTTTTGTAGTGGGCCAAGGTGCCGAATACCGATGAAATCCTCACAGTGGTGTGTGAGGACAAGGTCCAGCAGCGACGGGTCATGTTCCAAGTCAATATGTGCCGGTTTTGTGATACATTGTACAAGTGCACGCCGAATAACGGTTGATTAAAGGTCGCTATCAAAACCTCCACATGGAGCTGCAAGCGCTATCCAGTTGATATGCGGTGCGTTGAAGTCACCAATGATGAGACAACATTCTGCCATACTCCAAGAACTGATGTGTCTTAGGATAAAGTTGTCAGCAATACAACACGGACTACGGTATATTCCCCCTATAGTCACTGACAATTTTCTAGATCTAAGCTTACAACATGCAACCTCACATGTGCCACTGATATGAGCCTCCGATATTGTTTATTGTATACGAAAGTGATCCCTAACGTATAACATTACACCTTCCCCCTTGCGACTTAAAACTCTACCACTGCTTATACAGATATAGCCTGCAGTGATGGGAGAACATTTTCTATCTGCGGTGAACCAAGTTTCTGTAACAACAATTATATCGGGACTTAATTCATCCACCATCAGACTTAGCTCGGACGTTTTGTTTCTAAGACTACGGGTGTTCGTGTAGCACACACTTAAGGTGTTTTGATAATCATTCGTTCTGTTATCCCTGGGTGCATCAAAAAGCTTAGATAAGATTGTTAAGCATAGAGTGAAGAGTTTCAATGTTCTTAGTTTAACGGAACGTCTAGGCTTCCACGAATGTTATACTCGGTAGGCTAAACAGGTGATCCCACTAATATGGGATACGTTGCATTAACTTGGAATCACTCGAGCTCATGAGAAAATATCAGAAAGTTGCATTAGGGAACACGACGTAGAGAGATGCGGTATCCACCTTCATTTATCATTTGCAAGCAATAAAAAGCGATAAGTTATAAAACATAATGTTGTGGAAGAAAGTTAAAACAGACATATCGGTATTTAATATAATGTTACTCTTCGTGGTACCATCAGTCAGCTGTCAGGATTCTCCAACCAACTGTATCCTGGGCCCTTCCTTCCAGTTGTTTCCAATTGTTGTTCATTCTTTTGATGTCTGCTTCCGATTCCCTGCCCAATGTGTTCCTTGATCTTCCTCTTTTCTGTTTTCCTTCGGGATGTTAAGTTGGGGCTTTCCGCGTGATAGAGTTTGATTATTCGCGAATCGTATATCCTATCCACCTCCAACGTCTTTTCCTAACCTACTTTTCGTCTAGGAGCTGGTTTGTCCGCTAGAATAGTAGGTTGTTACTAACAGTATCCAGCCAACGGACCTGGAGTATCTTGTGCAGACAATTAGTTATAAATACCCATACATTTTGATGACTGTGGTAGTTCTTCACTTTTTGGATCCGTACAATAGAACTGTTTTGAAATGACAGAATTCGACTAAGAAATATAGTGTAGCGTAACGGAGCATCTGACATGCAAACTCACAATTAGTGCAAGTTTGAGAGTTGAATTGTAGATTTTACTGTAAACGATTTTTAAAACTCCATTATTAAATTACTGGATGAACGAAAAATTACTGTGTGAAAATCTTTTCATATGACAGTAAGTGACGTACCCCCTACTCGGGCTGTCTACCGAATATCGTCAAGGTTGAAAATTAATAATATAAAGCTACGGATCTACAGCACCGAACTGTTAAATACGGCGATTGGTTGATCAGCTAAAGTTTGCCTCTCACTTTCTATTTATCCCAACAAATCATTTATGTAAATAATTTGACCACTACATTACCTTACTCCGTGTTCAGGCTTTTAAAATGAAGTCTAACTGGAACAAATTTGGCTAGGTGTGAATGTTGTCAAATAGCCTTCTCCAGATAATATGCAAATGAACAATCGAAAAGATTTAAAACGTTCCAAATTCTTTTGGAAAAGAAAGCATGTTTATACATTGCACAGACTTTGAAGGTTTTGAAATCTTCTAAGTGGTTTTTTTCCAACAATTCTTCACTCAAAGTTAACAGTGTTTGTTAGAAAAAACAGTATATTTTGATAGAGTTTTCATTAGTTTGACACCACATCTTAACACTCAACTTCATGCAATTAATCCATTAGGTTTCACACTGTAGACGTCTTGTATTTCGTTAGCGTCCATATATTTCTTCATGACAAACATTGTACTGAATCCTGCCTCAGAAAATCTATAACCCATTAATTTGAGTTCAAACAGTGAAAAAATTTGATCAACTAATTCAAACTCCACGTGTAATGTAGTTCTTGCCCAAGGCCCATATGAATACGACCTTAGAGACAAAGTATCTACGATCAAAGTTGAGAAGTACAGATTAAAAACTCGAGAAAACGTCTTCCCCAACAAGTGTGCATTAATATGTAACAGTCTTCTCTCTGAAATACACATGGCAGATAAAGTGTATACGTTTTTAAAACTTCTTGAGGAGACCCTCACTTGCACTGATCTAGCACGTACGAACACATCTGCGTCTCACTCAGAAATCATAGCCCGTCTACATGTACAGACTAAATTATATTCTTAGTTCATTTTCCCTTACTTTGCTTTTTTGCAGTTGTATTAGGTGATTTTATCCCCTTAATTTTTACTTGAAGTAGACATAACTAACTGAACCTGTCGATGCCGCTAAAGAACATTTGTAGAATTATGGTCTACTATGATATTAGTACTGCTCTAATAATAGACCTAATCCTAAATTTGTAGATTCGTCATGATATAACTGCCTAATCTATAAGATCTTACGTGGAAGTCACACCATCGACTACGCCAACTCACTGTATCGTATCAATTACCAATACATGATGAAG